TGTTCCTGTTCCGTATTTAAAGTTATACCGAAGTGAATAAAAGTTGGAAGCTGAAGAAAGAGTTTGATACCCGGCCATCCACGGTACAGTATTTATTTTGTAGACTAGCACAGTTGCCAGTTGTGCAATAAAGTATAGCGTTAGCTGAAAATGTTTCCTTGCAGAAATAGCACATTACGATTCAAGAGACCGAAATCGAAACAATGACCCAATGTTACTTTCCTATTATTTACGACGGAATATGCGGTTTGTGGTACCGCGGATGATATGTAAATTTTAATACAAATGAAATGACTGCAGATGGGTATTTCAATGGCTGGTAACTTAGTGGTTGAAATAGAGTCTGAACTCTGACTTTGCGAAACAGTAGAGCTCGTTATATTTTGTTAGGATTAGCCAAATTGCTTAAAGTAGGTTTGCGCAAAGATTCATTTACGTTTGCAATTATATCTACATACAGAGTATCCAGTAAGTCCACTTCATCAATTGACTCATCGTAATTTTGTATTAAAACCAACTGTTCTACTTGAATACCTTGGAGCTGTTCATATGCATCTTGCAAGATTTGGTTTCTTGTTAAAAATTTTATAATCGGTGTTAGGATCATTTTTATGATCAGAAATGTAATGATCTGTTTTGTTAATTGTGTTAATTGCTTGCTTTTCCGTTGCTACTAATTTGTCAAACTCTATTTTAGTCGCCATTTTTGAAAGTTGACTCGTAGCTTGACGAAAAGATCGTAGCTTGATGAAATATCTAATATGTGGTCTACCTGTTGACTTCCGGAAGTTCTAGGAGCACTTCACTGCACCAACAAATCGGGCTCGAAGGACCAAATTTTTATGTTGGAATCACATAAAAGTTTTTATGTGGACTGCATTTTTAGTTGTAGCGCAAGATGGCAATAAGCCAGAGCTCGCGTAGATGCCCGGAAGGCAGAGTTAGATACTAATTAAATTGGTTTTTGGATTTTAAGATTGTATTTTAAATTTTCGCTTACAACATGACAGCTAATACTTAAAAACGTTGATTAGTCACCAATGAAGTACAAACAATGAATTGTTTGATGTTATTTCTCGTCGCATGGTGACCAAATTTAAAGTATCACAAATGAATTTTTATACAAATAAATTGTTGGATGCTGTTTCCAACAATGTCCAAATTTGATTGAGTTGATTCCTAACATTTTATTGACGTTTAGAATGGGTCAAATTAGTGTGGTCTCTGATATAAGTAAGGCTTTTCTTCAAATTAGTGTAAACCAAACCGTTAGAAATTTTTTTCGATTTTTATGGGTTGATTCTAATAGGAGAGAGATGATTTTTTGACACATTGAGAGTTGGATTTGGGGTCAACAGCAGTCTTTTCTGTTAGGTGCAACTATAGAATATGATCAGTAATTAATTTCTTACTAGTGGGATTTTCGGTCAACGGATGGTGGCAAACTAAAACACTGCCTTTTCAAGGGCCAACGTGTCGACTTTATTGAAGTCATCCTCAGGGCTCGAAAATGGAAAACAGAGGGGTTTTTAGCGCAGAGCCTGGTGGAGGTTCAACACTTAGTGTGTGACATTGTTGTACAATACAAATTAAAAAAAAAAACTTAAAACTCAACTTCACAACAAATTAAAACTTAAAACACGACCCATCAGACTATGCAGTTAAAATACTAAAAAATTGCATTAAAATTAACAATGGTTTATATAAGTCAATCATGGTCAGTTCCGTCTCAAGAGAGTTTAAAATCACATAAAATAAAACGATGAGGCGGTAAAAACTATAAAACACACTCAAAACAATAATCTCATGTCAATAACATTTACATAATAAAAAAAAAGCAATGAACAAAGAACGAAACTAAGTTTGTAAAAAAATTTCAAGTCTAAAAAGGGCGCAAAAGAGCGATTGTTGATTCAAAGAGCAAAAGTAGGTTTCGGAAGAAACGCAATCATGAAAATACGTTCATTATGTAATTACCCACCTATGAAGTCAGTGCCATATTTAATCAAGGGTAACATGCTTCTCAAGACAGGTGTATTACTGAACTGGTTGTTTTAGATTTTCTGGAAGGCTGCGAAGAATGTCTCGCTGATAAGAAAATTAAATATTCCACGCATTCACAATTTCTTTTTCGCATTTTAAAAGCTTCATTTTTCAGCCATTAGCATATATGAAATTAATTTTAGTAGTTTATATCATTCTTTTGTATAAAGCTATTATTGGCTTCACCGAGATTCTCTGTGTCTCTTCTAAAATTGACAGAGTTGTTAGTGTTTATGGAAATTGATTCACTAATTAGTCGCTTTATTAATCTTGGCTGATGGTCGAGAATTTTGATGTTACCGAAATCAAAGTTATGGCTGGCGATCCTTTGGTGTTCTACCAATGCTGTGTGGTTGGTTATATTGGTCTTTCTGATTCAAAAAAGATAACAAAATCCCATTTCTTGACACATTGCTCATTAGAGAAACAAGTCACTTATAATCGATTGGTACCATAAACCAACTTTTTCTGAAAGACTTTTAAACTTCTATTCCAAACATAAAATGACAATAAAGATTAACATAATTAGAAATTTGAAAAATAGAGCTATTGCACCATCAAGTCCTCAATTCCATCACAAGAATGTTGCCTTGATTAGGGATTACTTGTTAAACAACAATTACCCTCTATCTCTAAACGCGCTAAACATCTTTTCAGCTCAAAATCGTCGTTTTTGTTGGAATTTAGGAAGTTTTGTGCAAATTTATTTTTCA